CAGGCTCTTGCTTCATCTGACCTTTGTTCTTGGCCTCCTCCAGGTCCCTGGGCACTGATCTCCCCCTGCCAGAGCCAAGAGCTCTGAGCCACCCTGCTGTTCTCCATAGATGTCTTTCCAGGGGCTGAAGTACAGGGTCTGTGGCAAGGAGAAACACGGGGCGTGGGAGCCTAGACCCTGATGCTCCCTGACTCTCTAGCATCCATTCACCATCCATGACAGGCCTCCTCCATGCCAGGCGCGGATGTGGCAGGTCAGAAGGCCACTTGGCCACGTCTCTGCTGGGTTCCCTCCACTCTACTCAGCCCAGGGCAGTGTAAAAGGAAGGTGGGGCCTGCCCCCTGGCTTGGCCAGGCCACGAATCACTTTTCTTTTTTTTCATGACAAACAGTTTCCCACCAAAAGACTAGTGTGATCTTGTTTCTTGGGGACTGATGGTGAGGTTTGCTTTCCAGCTTTCTCAGAGACTTGCGAAATCTGAGACCCAAGCCACAGCCTGTGGCGATGTGTCAGCCCCAAGCCAGAGGTTATGAGGGAAGGACAAGCAGAGAGAAGCCCGAGGAAAGAAGTTGGGAGCCTAGGAGCATTGGAAGGTAGTTGGGTGCTCGTCTCCATCAAGGCCGGGGGCCTGAGAAGGGGAGGGCCCCTAAGCCAGCTGGTGCTGCTTGTCAGAGGGACGGAGGCCAGAGGGAGGCTGCCAGGGCAGGGCTGGACTCTCTTAAGTCTTCAGGCGCGGGAGCCAGGCTGGCCCTGCGCCCTCGTTCTGACATTTACAAGCTGCCTGCCTATGTGATGGGGAAAGCTATTTAACCTCTCAATGACTCCGGCTGGCTTGCTCATCTGTAAAATGGGGTCATAACGATACCTGCCTCATGGGGGCTATGTGGATTCACGTAGTACAAAGGGACTTCGTTCAATAAATGTTAGCAATGAATATTATCACCCAGAGAGTCAGAGAAAATGAGAGTGCGGAAGTTGTTGCTACAGGGATCAAAGGGACCAAGGCAGCCTGGGAGTGCTCTTCCTAGCAGAGTAGGCCAGCCTCAGGTCTGCATGCCACGGGGCAGAGGGTGGACAGCTGGTGCCTCTGTTGCCCCTTTCTGGCCCTACTCACGACAAGCTGGCCCTCCTGGCTCTGGTGCTCCCCTGCCCAGGGTAAAAGAGCAGCTTCTCCACCCCCTCGCCATGCCCCACACTAGGCATCTGACTCTTGATAAGAATGATGAAGGGCCTCCAGGCATCTCCCCTTCCCCCACAGCACCCTCTCCACCCATCTCTCAGCCAGCAGCTCAGCAGCTGCAGTGGGGGTGGACATGTTGTAGCTCTGGTCAGTGCCTGACCACTTTTGTCCCCTCCCAGATCCGGGGGCTAGAAGGGGTACCACTGGGGCTGGCAGTGGGCCAGCAGCTCCTGCCAGCAGATGTAGGTCTGGGCAGCCAGGTCCTTGAGTTTGGTCTGGTGCGTGGCCTGGGGGCTTTCCAGACATGGGTGCTGATATGGCAGTCCAACTGCCTACAGCAGCTGCAGCTCCCCCTGCAGAGGCGGCCGGGGGTGGGGGTGAGGGGCAGCCAGGCGCATCCACAGTGAGGGAGAAGGGGTTTGAAACAGTCAGCGAAGGAGAGAGGGGTACGAGAGTGACCAGTCAAAAGTTGGGCAGAAAAGAGTAGAGAGGGACAGGGCAAGTGCTGGGGGCACAGGTCAGGACCCCTTGGGAAGGCCAGTGGAACACTGGGAGAAGACAGAGCCCTGCTCCCCAGAGCCTGCACTTCCTGAGAATGGGCTGGGTTCCACCCCAGCCAACCACAGCCCAGCCTCTCGGGAGACTCACCCACTGGTTTGGAGTAATGTCCTGGCAGGTGACCACCACCCCAGGGTCAGGAGGCCGTGGCACAGGTAGCAGACCTGGAGAGAGAGCACAGGAGACAGGAGACCCTAAGTCCCTCACCCTGACTCCTCATTCCCACGTACTGCAGGGTAGGGGATGGCCTTCCAGCCACAATTTCTGGGGAGGCTCTTCCAGGAGGGCTCTGGGCCTCACTCACTCAGAGCTCTCCCTTTGGTGAATGACCTTCCTCTCTTCCTTCAGAAAAAGAAGACACCAGCCATCCAGACCCCCCACACTTCCCCCAGCCCTGTCCTGGGGCTCCAGGAGAGAAAACCGTTAGGGAGAGGGCCTGTCCACTCCGACCTCTGCTCTGCTCTGAGGTATCCACCCACACCTGTGGGCTCTGTGACTAGGTGTCACTCTCCTCTATGGGGGGACATGGCCCAGAGGTGCCCAACCTGCTCCTCGGCGGGACACCTACAGACAGATTTGTAGCCCCATCATGTTGACATGAGGCAGGTGAAGAGGGGGAAGGCAGGAGGCGGGGCGGGGAGGGAAGGTGGTGGTTTTGGTGAGCATTTGCATGCCTTACCCCACCAACTCATACACTCGCTGTTGCCCACTGGCCACTGAGGGGAGAAAACAGGACAAGGCAGATTCTGATCCCAGCTGCCCTTGGACTGTCGGTGCACATTCATTTACTGGACATTCACCTGCTGTGCAGAAACAATGAGGTACAGGGAGCACCCCAAAGACAGGTGAGGCCTTGGTGTGAAGACAGCCTGCTCCTGGTACTCCGGAGTTGTCTGTGGGCATGCCCCTTGCCCCCTCAGGTGCCTGTCGCCTTGCCCCCATTGGACTCCTTATGTCTAAGACAGAGCGGGTAGCAGGAAACGACCCATGTGTGTCCATGTGTCTGTCAGATAACAGGCCCTGAGGCTGAGCTGGGAGGGGAGAGGCGAGCTCCAGCTTGGTAATAGTGGGCCTGAACTCAGAACCAGCCTACAGCTCCTGTCCCCCTACTTCCCCTGCCCTTATCAGCCTCCCCCTTAGGGCACCAGGCAGTGGCCCAGGAGCTTCCTTAGGGCAGAAGCCAGAACCATTGCGAGGGCACCAGGCTTGGCACTGTGAAGTACTGTCTTCTTGAACTCAAATACTACAATGCGAAGTCCTGAGGGCTAAGGCCACCTGCCCCCTCTCCCAGCAGCACCTGCCCTACTTGGGACCCAGCCTGTTCTCCAGCACAGCAGCTGAGGCCCCTGGTGGCCTAACCCTACAGGCAGCATGGCCCACTGGCCACCGCAGGCCCTGAGCAGACACAGTGGGGAAAGCCTCCACTGTGTGCCTCCATGGGATGTGTCTCCAAGCAGCGCTGCTCTGGGCTGGGCACAGGCAACCTCTGTGAGCCAGGTCCACCTCCAGAGTCCTGCAGCTGCGGTGCCCTGAGCCCCCCAGTGGAGGTAGTGGCTTGCCAGGGGGTCTGACTGGCTAGCAATCCCCTGCTCCCAAAGGACTCCCCATCCCCAGGTTGGCTGCGCCCTCAGATGTGAGGACCACAGCATTTGGAACCCCTTCCAGCCTCTGCAGTCCTGGCAAATGGCTCATTGCCCCCCCACCCCCAAAGCAGGCTCAGGCCTGTGTGTCAGACACTGCACCCTGACTAAGACATAGCCGCAAACACTCAGACATCAGAGGGAGAAAGACGATTCAAGAAGGCAACCACTTGGTCAACAAATCCCCAGGGAGCAAAAGGAGAAAGGGTCCTTCTAAGTTTTCAGGGTGGGATGGGTAGTGTGCAGCTCAGAAGTTTCAATGAGGAAGTGATTAAGCTAAACCAGGCTTCTAAGAACGGTAGAATTTGAGGTGAGCTTGGCTCTGTGGGGAGGAGGCAGGGCAGAGATTATAACTCCTGAAAGACCCAGAGCCTAAGCAGGAAACAGGCAGGACACGCTGAGGGGGGCGAGAGGCCGGGGGATGGGGGGGGGACGACTGGCTGCCAGGTGGCTGGCCAGTGGAGAGGGAGAGGGGTGCCCTGAGGACAGGGCTGGCAGCAGCGGTCTGAACAGTGGGCAGCGGGGGCTGCTCTGGGTTCTTGAGGAGGAAAGCTGGGCTGTGGAGGACAGACTGGGGGTACCTGGGGGGTGCCGGGGACAAAATCAGTTGAGATGGACTTCACCAGAGTACAATGTGGCTTTGAGTGAAAGGATTATAGGACATCCTTCATTTATTTGGCTTTTTAAGATTATTTGTCTACAATATGTGTACTTTACCATATAATCAGAGTACACTGAAAGCTTTTAAAAATTAATTTTACGGCTGGCCGAGTGGCGCGATGGTTAAGAACTGGCTTGGGATGCCAGAGGGCCCTGGTTCGGATCCCACATATGAGGGCCAGCGACACTGCCCTCCACAGCTAAGATGCTGAACAACAGCTCAACCTGGAGCTGGGCTGCCCTGAGTCCCCGGCGACGGCATAGGCTGCAGCCCCTGTGGCAGTGGGTTGCCATGGGCTACCGTGTGTAGCCAGCAGCCAGCGTGAGTGGCCAGCAGCCACCGTGAGCGGCTGTCCAGAAGCCGGCGACTGATCTGCCTTGCCCGGGAAGAGCGCAATGATGGTGCCAACTTGGGCCAGTGAAGCCATGTCCTCCACAACTAGACTGAAGAACAAAACGACAGCAACTTGTCTGTTCCCTTCCCCCAATTCCCCAGAGCTGTTCCCATCCCCCCAATTCCCCAATAAAAATCTTTAAAAAAATTTAATTTTAAATAAGACAATGCTATTAGCATTGACTTAGCCTAGTTGGGTTTGGGGTGGGTGCAGGGCAAGGGAGACGGACATGACCTTGAAAAGCAGCAGAACCATGGGGACAAGGGCCCCCCTGAGAGGGCTTTGAGTGACCTGCTGATGAGAATTGGTAGGAGACGCCAAAGAGCATCCCAGGGTGGCTGGAAAAGGGGCTTGTTTGCAGGGGGTGGGCGTGAAAGCCTGGGAGGGGGTAGACCAGAGAGGGAGAGAAAAGGGCAGCTCTCAGCCCTTTCACTTGTAAGTAGTTGCAGCACCGAGGTGGGGACTGTGGTTCTTCCAACGACCCTGCAGGCTCAGGCAGTGTCTCTGCATTTCAGAGACCTGTGTGCTGTGCACAAAGCCATCCAGCCTGGTATTGGTCCCTGGGGCCCGACACCCTGACCCCTCCTTCCCCTGAAGAATTAATCTTCCTAGGAAGGGCGTGGTGCGGGTGGACCTAGGATCTGAGGAATACCCAGGGGGGAAATCAGAGAATCAGAGTAGAATTTATTGACAAAAAAGCCTCCACTTGCAAGTGGGTTTCACAACATCATTCTTATGCTGATTCCCATAATTGAATCTGGAGGAAAAATCCCAGGAAAACTATTCTGACCCTTGTTTTTTTTTTGGTGGGGGGGACGGAGGCGGGGCGTGGAGTGGTAATAGCAAGAAGGAAACGGTAGTGCTGAAGAAAAGCCCGGTTAACTACATTTTATAAGCCAATTTTCCAAAGAGGAGAAAAAAAAACCCTGCCCGCTACCTGGAAGAGGGTTGGGTACTTATTTTCCTTGTGTTCCACGGTGATCTCTGGAGTGGGGCCTCAGTGAGGGGGTCCCTTTAAGAAAGACTTTGACCCACTTAAGGGGATAAGGTTCTAAAACTGAGGGTCCTTATGACTTTGGTTAAATTTGACTTTAAATTCTAGCTCTAGAAACCATATCCCTCTCTCTATACACCCCTCAGAGTATATATCTAGCCTTTCC